CAAATCCCCTCAGAAGGATCTTGGTGGCATAAAGAGGAGGCTGGTGGGGACTACTCAGCTGCAGTGCCTTCCCATCCCCAGGGGTCAAGGGAGGCACCATGGTGGGGACAGCTGGTGGGGAGGGTCGAGGACTCACTCTGGGCACCCGGGGGAGCCATAAAGAGTGGGAAATAGTGCCCGTGGGCAGGGAGCTTCTGGGTGGGGGGAGGGCTGGAGGGTCCATCACTTCCTATCCCCAGGGCCTGACCCACTGTCTTCCCAAAGGCTGTGCTGCTCTGGGCCTCAGTGCTCTTTCCGGCGCCCGAGGACTGGGCGGAGCTGCAGGGCGCCGTGTACCGCCTGCTCGTGGTGCTGCTGTGCTGCTTGGCCACCAGGAACCTGCCCCACTTCCTCCACCCCGAGCACAACCTGCTGCAGGACACCAGCCTGGACCTCAATGCCCTCTACCAGCGCGTGGAGCACTTCGCCAGCCAGCCCGAGGCGTCCCTGCGCATCCACGTCACCCACCTGGGCCGCAGCCCCCCGCCGCGCATCGGCCACGGGGTCAAGGCGCTCCTGCAGCTGCCCGCCAGCGACCCCACCTACTGGGCCACTGCCTATTTTGATGTCCTGCTGGACAAGGTGGGCATAGGCAATTGAGGGAGCCTTGGGCAGACCCAGGGTCACATGTGGTGAGGATGAGTCCTGGTCACCCTGTCCTCTCTCCCTTGCCTTTTCTGCTCAGAGTCAGGAGCTTGAGCAAGGAGGTTGGTCAGGTCAGGAAAGGATGTGACATTGGGGTCAAATAGGCCATGATTGCCCCCTGCCCACCAGTGGCTCCACAGGCCCAGGACCGCTGTCTTGGAACTAGAGAAGCACGTCCAAGCCTGACCCTGCCCCCCCAGAACCACCCAAACCCACAATGAGAGCACTCAGAGCCCCAGCAGCTACCCTGGGCTCCATCCTCCTGAAGGGGCGTGGCCTCTGTGGGCCTCATTGGCAGGTTCCCTGGACCCAGCAGTTCCATGTCATGTCCCTTGGCATTTAGGGGGAGCCTGTCTGCTTTACCTGCTACCCCTCTCAAGTCCCAAGGTTCCACTAACTCTGCTGATCTTCCCTTCCTCCAACCCGGGAGCCCCCTCCTGCTCCTCCCCAAGGGCCATTCCCACCTTCACACCAAAAAGCCAACATGTCTCCTTCCAGGGTACGCCCAGAGACATGGAGTGATGGTAGTGGGAGGGGTAACCCACATGCAGGCCTCAGCAATCACTTGCCCAGGCCTCCTTGGTGTCAGGCCATCCAGGGACACCTGGGTGTGAGGAAGGCCATGGGGGAGGGGACCCAGGGACACCTGGGTGTGAGGAAGGCCATGGGGGAGGGGACCCAGGGACACCTGGGTGTGAGGAAGGCCATGGGGGAGGGGACCTAGGCAGGTTCAGCTGCAGGGAGGACTGTCCAGGTGAGACCCAGAGGCAGGAATCCCAGTGGTCAGGGACAGATCTTGTCCCATGCTGTGTCTGGGGCTCGGTGATGTGCTCTCAGATGTCTCTGTGACCCCTCTGTCCCCGCCCTGCCCGCAGTTCCAGGTCTTCCACATCCAGGATAAGGACCGGATCTCGGCCATGCAGAGCATATTCCGGAAGACCAAGTCCCTGGGCGGCGAGGACAGCTGAGTGGGCGCCTGGGCTCGCCGCTGCTGCACTGCCCCATGGAGACTCCTGGGACACAGGCAGAAGGCCTTCACCTTGAGGTGGGTGGTGGTTCGTGGAGGGACTTTCTCCGGGGCAGTGGCCTCAAGGGAGTCTAAGAGTGCAGGACAGCGGGCCTCCTGGGAGCAGCTGCCTTGTCTCCAGGGGTGAGGGGCATGTGCTTCTTGTGTCCATCCACCTACATGGTGCTGTCAAGACTGAAAAAATGAATGTCTGGACCTTCAGGACTTGTCCCATCCATATCAAATGCTATTTGTGAGGTAAAATACTATGTGTCTGATCTTGAATAAATTAATGTACCCCCAAAGAATAGCAAGAGTTCTTGTACCTGCCCACCTACCACAAGCACAAGGATGGGGCCTGCAGCCTCACTGGGTTTTGGAAATGGATCTTGGGAAGGTCCATTTGTTGGCTGGCTCGGAAACGGTGAGTTCTGAGTGGGTCAAAGCACAGACTGGCTGTCCAGCAGCTTCATGGGCTGGGTCCCGAGGGAGACGGGCACCACGTGGCGTCTGGAAAACCCTACCATGGAAGCTGAGGTTCTGCATCAGAGAACAATAGTTCACTGTCCAAAGCACAGTGTCTACATGACATGGGGTCCCAGCGGAGGATGAGCCCTGACCGCGAGAACCCAGGCCACTACAAGCCCACCACGAGCTCCATGTTACAGATCCTTGCAATGAGGCAGGAAAACATAAGTAAAAGGCATGAATATTGGAAAAGTAAACCTATAATTATTCACAAACAACTTGATTATTTACATAGAAAACCTTAAGGAATTCACAGAGAAACTATCAGACTTGTTAATTTAATAAGTCAAGAGATACAAGATTAATAGAGAAAAATGAACTGTGTTTCTATATATTACAAGTAAACCACTGGAAAGAAAATTTTAAAAATACCATTAACAATAGCATAAAAATATCATACACGCAGAAATATACCTAAAAAAGGCTATGTGAGACTTCCACACTGAAAACTAGAAACAGCACTACATATAATCTCGAGCGATCCACATTAATGTTTAGGTCTTTAGAATGTTTAAATTAAAAATTTATAATATTTTGATGCTTTCCATTGTACATAACTTGATACATAGATTTAGTGCCATTCCATCAAAACTCCAACATGCTCTAAACAAGACAATTCTAGAATTTACGTAGAAATTCAAAGGCTCTAGGACAAGAGAAACAATTTTGAAATTACAAAATTGAAGGATTCGAACCACCTGACTTCAGACCTACTATGAAGCTGCAGTAATTAAGACAGTGTGGCGCTAACGTGAAAATAACTAAATACAACAACACAGAATGGAGAGACCAGAGCAGACCAATGCATGGGGCCAGCCGACAAAGTGGCCAAGTCCACTAATTAGATGGGGAAGGAAAGTCTGGTCAGGGTGGAAGAAATTGTACCTTGACCCCCTCTCCACTCCATCTCAAAATTAATATGGCGTGGATCATAAACCTACACATCAAAGCTGACACCAGTGTTTCTAGAAGAAACATGGTAAGCTATCTTTAGGATCACAGAGTAGGCAAATGTTTCCTGGACAGCATCCAAACAGCACGGACCATAAAGGAAAACACGCGGGCTTCATCAAGATTTAAAATATCTGCTCTTTGAAAGACACGATATATAGAGTGCAGGTGAGCCACAGAATAGGAGAAAATGCTCATAGCAACGTGTCTGACAGTATCCAGAGCCTATCAAATAACTATCAGAAGTTGACAATAAGAAGATGAAAATCAAATAATGTGAGCAAAACCCTTGGGCTGGCACTCCTCAAGAGGAAATGCATGATTGGCCAATAAACACATGAAAAGATGCTCAACACCATTCATCATCAGGGAAATGCATAATAACATCAAAGTAGATTCAATTTCACACTCACTGGGGCCAAGGGGGAGGGGGGGAAACAACACCAAGTGATGGTGAGGATGTGGAGTAACAGGAACTCTCCTCCACTCCGGTGAGAATGTAAAACATTGCAACCACCTCCAAGGCTTATAAAATTAAACCTGTCCTTCCCGTGTGACCCATAATTCCACTCTAGGTATTTACCCAAGAGAAATAAATAGGTGTCCACATAAAGCCGGTCTAAGAACAGCCATCACCTTCGTATTCATAACAGCCCCTGTTGGAAGTCACCCAGAGGTCCATCAGCAGCAGGGAATGCACCAGTTTTGATATATCCATGCAATGCCATGGTACCCAGCAACAAAGACTCACCGCATTCCCACAGCAACAAAGTGCGAAGGGGAAGAAGCAGACAGGCTAGAGAATATACTGTGTGGTTCCATTATATGAACTCCAGTTACAATACTAATGGGTGGTGATGGAAACCAGTGGGAGGTGGGGCACTGACTGGATGGGGAGCTCAGGGGACCGGCCATGGATGGTGCTTGTCTGCTTCTGGGGAAGCCCAACCAAGACAGGGCTGCTCTCAGGACAAAGGCCAAAGTCTTGAAGTGACCTGCATGGCCCTGTTTGGGCCCCCAAACTTTCTGGCCTCTCCTGGAAAAGCACCCATCCTTCCCTTTGCTTTCTGGACTTCAGACCCTCTGGCTCTCAAGGTCCTGTGCTGACCATAGTTATGTCCCACTAGTGCCAAGCACTGGGGGTGGGTGGCCTCTGATCTGCTCAGGGATCTACCCCAGTGCCCTGGGTGAGTGACAGGAGCAGAGCCAGGCTGACCCCTTCCATTCACAGACAGGGCTGCACTGGACTGGGGAGTCCAACCTGTCTGGCCTTCCTCCTGGGGGTATAGGACCGGTGAGGACCTGGAAATGTGGGCATAGCTCTGACTGCCCAGAGCAAACCCTGGTCCAGAGTAGGGCAGAGTAGGTTAGTAGGTCAGAAACTTCAAATTAGGGAGAGGCTGAGGGGGCTTAGCCCAAGTGAGGGCAGAGCGTATGGACAGAAGTTCCGAGAGAGCCAAACAAAGGAGTGGGGAGGCCGGGGTTCCAGGCCACCCTCAGCTGCACATTGGAGGGTCCGGTGGCGGCCAGGCAGAGGCCCTCCCAGAATCGGTGCCTGCCAGGCTCAGGTCCCAGCTGTGTGCTCTAGGCACACAGTCTGCCTTCAACCTCAACTCAGGTCACGGATCACCCTGAGGCTGTGGTTCCCCTGGAGGCAGTGTGTGGCCATGTGTTTTGCAGGTGTGAGATCTGGGGCCCCTGCACACCCCATCTTCTAGCCTTAGGGAAGCCCTAGGCGAGGATCTGCCATGAGCTCCCCCAACAAAGATGCAGTCAGGGGGCAGCAGTGCCTTCCTGCCAGACTCTCCCGCAGCCCAGCCCGCACAGTGAGGACAGATGACCACTGGTTCTTTATTGAGTATTCTCAGAAGGCCAGTGACCTGGGACTGCAGCTTATTTGCGGGGAGCTGAGGATCCTGAGCCCAAAGGGCCATTTTCAGGGAGTTCCACTAGGAAGGGGAAAGCCACTTGGGGCTGGGGCAGTGGCTTATCCTGCCCCGGGGCCCAAGGGCATGGCCGGGTGCCCAAGTCATAGCTTGTTCCGGGGGCAGTGCTGCAGGGCCGCCTGCAGGGCCTCAATCACTCGGTCCACGTTCTCCCTGGTGGCGTTGTAGCCCAGGAGGCCGATCCGCAGCACCTGGGGGCGAGGGTGGCGAGATGTCATCCTCCACCCAGCACCGCACCTGGCCCTGGCTGCGGTCTGGTGGGCTCAGAGCCAGGTGGGCTCCCAACGAGGGGACTCCCACCCAGGGTAACAGGGAAGCCAGAGCTTCCTCCGGTCACACAGGGAGCTCCCAGACCCAGGCAGAACCCACAGAGCTCGAGAAGGGCATCCAGGGTGGCGGTCAGAAAAGGCCACTCAGAATCACCCTCTCAGTGGGCACGGCTGGACCCGGGCACAGGGCCTCCTGCCTGCTCTGCCCCGCAGAGGGGAGGAAGGACACTCTGGGTGGCATTGGAGGTGCTGCACCTCACCAGCCAGGGAAGAAGGGCCCAGATTCCCCCTGCCCAGATCCCTGGGGTTTGGAGAAAGATGTTCCCTTCCGGACACGCCCGTGACCTGGGTCCTCGGACGACTGCCAGCCTCAGCCTGGACCCGGGCACAGTCATGCTCCATGTGGAGCTTAGCCTAATTTCTGTGGTAGGTATGGGCCACCCCCTCACCTTCCCCAAGGAGGGCCCAAGGCCGCCCGTGATTTCGATGGAGAAGTGGTCCATGAGGTACTTGACGATGTCTCTCCAGTCATAGCCAGCAGGCACGGCGATCGTGGTGACGGTGGGCAGCCGGAGCGCCTGCAGGACAGGCCTGGCTCAGCACCATGCTGACCGCTCCGGGCCAGCCCCACCCACCCTGGCCTTGGGCTTCAGAGGAACAGGTGGGGCTAGGGGAAAACTGGGGGGTCCCAGGCTGCTGCTCAACCCCCAAGGGCTTTGATATGGCTGTTCCCTCAAGCAGGTCACACCCACCCTATGTCAGAGGGGCTTCAGTTGCCTGCTGACACTTGGGGTGCCTGGCTCATTCAGTTGACCTTCCCCCCAGTCAAAGCCCATGACTGGTTGGTCTCTGGAGGCCGATGGGAATCTTCCAGGTCAGGGATCCCCATAACTATTCCAGGTGGAGATTGGGGCAACAAACTAAAGATTCAGAGGCCAGAGAGCCATGACCTTGATAGTGATGGCCCCCCAGGACTGTCCACAACCCCCAGGACCATAGAAACCTGTGTTCATAGAGGGAACTGGGCAGGAGCTGTCCCCCTCCTCAGACCCCCATGGGGCAGAGCCCCCTTGCCTCCCCCGACCCCTGGCCCTGCCCTCCTTACGGGATCCTTCACGAAGAGCTGCAGGCCCAGCCCTTGAAGGCGCCCGTGCAGGTAAGCGGTGACATCCCGGTGCCGTCGCCAGCTGTTCTCCAGGCCCTGCTCAGGGACAGGGCATCATAGGCAGGTGGGTGGGGCGGAGAAAGCAGACTCCCATCCACAGAGTCAGCTTCAGACTGGGGGCTCCAAGCCTGCCCGGGACTTTGAGCCCTTTGAGAGTCTCCTGAGCCCCCAGGTTTGGGGCAAGGCTCTGTGGCAGGGGCTACCTCTGGTGAGGGGGATGGGTCCCAGCCAGCACTGGAGCCCTGGGGAGGTGAGTCAAGATCACCTTGTTCAGGAGGGGGGCTGGCCCGGGTAGGGCAGGGGGTTTCTCAGTCACATTCTGCTCCTGTCTTCCCAGCACACTGACCACAACCCAAGTTCCATGTAGCTCTACCCTCTCCCTGCCCTACATCCTCACACCCAGCCCACCTGCAGAGCCACCCCCTGTGACACAGGGCCCAGTCTGGGGCTGGTGACCTCTGCCTCCTCGATGCCAGCTCAGCCCTGGGGCGGTGGATTTATGAGTGGACACAGGAGTGGACACAGCGCGACCAGCGTAGCACTGAGCCTTGAGGAGAGGCCGCCCACAGCCCGGTCTCTTCCTGACCTCTGGGCTGGGGGCCAGCTGTGTCCAGGGACGGTGTTAGGACGGTGAAGGTGGGCTGTGGTGCAGCTGTGTCTTGTCTGTGCCCTGCAGAGCCAGCTCAGCCTGTGTAGACAGTCGTCCCAGCACTGTCCCTGTCTGGCTCCTGACCCTAGCCTAGGGCTGGATGTGGCTGCAGGAAAGTGCCCGGCTGCTGAACTTGGGTCATTTTACACTCACAAACCAGGCTCCTGGCCTCACTCCAGCCCCTCCACTCCTCTTCTCTGCACACCTTGCCTCTCCTCAAGACCCCTTCTGCTGGCTGGGCCCTCACGGCGGTGTCACTCAGCACCTACCCGCCCTGGGTTCTGTCCCCAGCCTCCCGCGGCCCACAGCTGGTGCTCTCCTGCCTCACCTCTTCTGCGATGAGGGCCAGGCTCTCTCTCAGGCTGAACAAGCTTATGACGGGGGTCGTGTGGTGGTACCTGGAAGACGGGGATGGGTGGGCTTGGTCCAGTGTCACTGGGCTGGGGCCGGGCAGCCCCAGTTGGGCCAGGCTCTGTGTCATCTGGGCCAGCTCCCTTCCATTGTGGGACCCAGGGACTCAGAGCTGGAAGGGCAGCTGGATCTGCAGGAGCAGAGCTCAGAGGGGCACTGGCCACACCTCAGCGGGATGATGACAGGCATAGAGGCCCCATGCTGGCTCCCACCTCCCAACTGGCCTCCCTGGGCCCCAGTGGCCCCAAGGAACCCACACTGCACCCACTGGGCCCGCTGGGTAGGGCATAATTCCCTGTCCCCCTGTGTGACATAAGGCGCCTTGGGTTATGGCCAAAGCCACCTCACAGAGCCCCGAGTTTACCTCCTTCTTCTGAGACGGGGTAAACTGAGGCCCAGAAATGGGGAGATGTGGCCAGGTCCAAAGTACCTGCTGCCACACTTTTAGGGGGACAGGGATCTGGGAAAGGGTGGGGGCCATTTGGCTGGCCCTGAGCCCCCAGGCCAGAGAGAAATGGGGAGTGTAGGTGGGGGCATTGATGGGGAGCTTGAAACAAAGTAAGACTGATGAGGGGCCAAGGGTAGTGAGAGGCCACCCCTCAAGCACACCCAGCCCAGCTCTCTCCCCTCCCTCGCCCTCACATCCTGGGCTTGTCGTCACAGCCCCAGAAGTTGGCCAGCCACTTCATATCCAGGTAGAAGGAATAGGGCTTCGTCTTCCGGGTGTAGATCTTATTTCTGGGGAGGAAGAACCAGCCTGAGTACCCACCTGTCTGGCTGATGCCTGTGGGATCATTTCCCAGGTCCTCCTGTTCCTCAGAGGTGGGGACCTGGGTCAGGCCTAGCCCTGCTGGTCCTTGGGCTTGGCCTGCACCTCTGCCACTTGGGTGTGACCCTGCTGCATTGGTGAGTCCAAACACATCAAAATGACAAAGAGGAAACTGAGGCTGGGGGCCCACCTCTCCTGGGGTATCGTCTGTGAAGCTGGGTATAGTTGAGGGCCTATAGGCAGCCTCATCCCCGGGCTGGGCACCTCCAGATTGGCCTCGAAAACTGGGCCTCTCCCCAGCTCTGGTTTCAGACCCCGCTGCTTCTTTGACCCTCCCACGGTCATCTCAGACTTCCTGTCCACACAGAATTCCTGATCTTGCCCCAAATAGTCTCTGTTCTGGTAAATGGCACCAACATTAACCTGGTGACAACCTGCTGGGACCAGTCTTCCATCCCCTCCCCCAGACCACCCACACCACCCAGGCCTGACTTAGGGCTGGACACTGGGGACATGGGGGACATTGTGGCTGCAGCCAGCGAAGATGGTCTGTGCTTGGCCCATGCCTGCCCAGGGAGCAGCTCCTGTCTCGGAGGATCCTACTGTGTTTCCCCAAAAATAAGACATCCCCCGAAAATAAGACCTAGCGCATGGAAAGATAAGACATCCCCTTAAAATAAGACCTAGTGCAACTTTGGGAGAAAAAATTAATATAAGACACTGTCTTATTTTCGGGGAAACAAGGTAGATGCTGAGCTGGGGCTGGCGGCAGCGGGGGCTGAGACCAGAGTCTGTTCTTGCTTGAGGCCGGAGAACTTCTGAGTACCAGGCCCTGCATCCCACACACAAGCTGAGGCTCTGAGAGAAGGGTCTTTTGAAGGACAGTCTGGCCAGGCCTTTGCTGCACACTGAGGCCCTCACCACATTCAGCCACCTGCTCCCTGGGCAGAGTTTTGGCACCCCTGTCCAGGCTGGGCACCTGTCTAGGGGCATCTTGGAGCATGACTCAAGGCACCCTTCCCTCCCTCCTGGGGGCCATCTGGACTCACTGCACATCCAGCTCTGGATTGGGGGCCCAGGGGCCACTCACTTGGCCTTGTCACTGAAGGAGATGAGTGCGGTGCCCGGAGGGGAATTCAGGACCTTCTGGGAACCCGAGTACAAGACGTCGATGCCTGTGGGGAGGAGGGACACGTGTTCCTGCAGGCCATGCCCCACCAAGGGTGGGGTCATTTCAGCTTGGTGTCCCTTGAAACCCAGGACCTGGCAAGTCTGACAGTTTGGGGTAATCTGGGGACCCATCATGCAACTGGCATCTGGAGTGAGAGGGACACCCTTGTAGGGCCAGTCCTACCCTGTGGAGTCTGATGCTGTCCTCATTGGGGTGGAGTGAGCTTGGGACACCCAATGAGTGTCCACTTGGTATGGCGGGAGCCATGGCCTGGTGTCCGAGTGTGTGAGTGCAGTGGGGACAGTGCAAAGGAGGGAAAGAGGTTTTCTTTTCACAGTGTGGAGTATTAGCCCCCTCATCTGTCACAAAAAACCTACACTGCCATCACCTGAGGAGGCCTTGCAATTCTGGACGGCAGCAAAGAATATTAGGGCTCTGAGGATAAAGGGCCGAGCAGATCTGAGCTGTGTCTACCTTATGATCCCCTGGTGGGGCTTCAAATGTGCACTCCCAGGCCTGAATGAGAATGTTCTCACAGCTTATTTCTCAGAGCCTAACCCTGGAAAGAAGCCCACGTCTACCAAGAGGAGAAGGGTGCAGGAGTGTGTGCATGAAATCATGGAACCTGAAAAACCTCGCCCAGAGGCATCACAGTCCCCTTCCTCCTCCCACCTCTCCCGCAGGGGTTCTGAGCGCCTCCCCACACATTAACTCCCGCCTGCCCCCACACCAGCGCCTGGCAGCCCAGCAGAAACAATGGGAGCTGATCGTTCACGGAGCCTAGCTGGCGGGGCTGGCGGGGCACACCCTTACCTTGCTGATCCATGTGGATGGGGGTCCCGCCCAGGGATGCCACAGTGTCCACCAGGAGCAGGCACTGGTACCTGGGGGAGGGCAGCAGAGTGAAGCAGGAGGGACTTTGGCCCCCTACCTTGCCCTGCCCGCTGGCCACAGGACCCCCATACAGGGTGCATGAGGGCTCAGCTCCCATGTTTCTGCCTGTGGTCCTGGGGTGCCTGGGGCCTCTGAGGGCACAGCGCCAGGCATGTGTGTGGGGACCAGGAACCGCGCAGCATAAGCCTGGGCCTCCCTCTGCCAGCAGCCTGCTGGCTGTATGGTCAGGGCCCAGGGGGGACAGAGAAACAGCCCAAGCCTCTTCCCCACCCCCACGTTTTCTTATGGGAAAAAAAAAAAAAAAAAAAAAAAAAAAAGGCCAAGACTTGGAAACAGCCAAAGTGTCTGCGATTGAGGACTGGATGGAGAAGACGTGGTACCTGTACACAGTGGGATACTGCTCAGCCACAAGAAAGGATGAGACAGTGCCATTTGCAGCACCATGGATGGTCCTTGAGAATATTATACTAAGTGAAATAAGCCAGGCAGGAAAAGCTAAAAACCATATGATTTCTCTCTTATGTGGGATATAAATCTGAAACTTGTGGACACAAACAGCAGTGTGGTGACTGCCAGAGGGAAGGGGCTAGGGGTGAAGGGGTCCTAATATATGGCGAGGGGAGAAGATTTAACTTTGGGTGCATGAGCACACAGTGCAATATACAGATCTTGTAACAGAAACCCACTCCTGAAACCTGTATGGCCCTGTTAACCAATGTCACCTCAATAAATTTAACTTAAAAAAAAGGCAAAACGAGGATCCCATGCTGGGCGCAGACGGACAGGTGTGTCCCTCGGGAATCATGGCCCAGATGATATTCATGAGCTTGATTCACTGGACAGGATTCCCGGGGCAGGCTGACTGGGCTGGAGCTGTGCCTGGCAGACACTCGGCCCCTATAGACCCCGCTTGGCTGTGAGCCCCATCCTTCCAGCCTGTAGTCATCTCTGCAGAGCAGGATCGCTGGTCACAGGAAGGCCCACCTGGGTTCCCTAAGGCCCTGTGTGCCCCTGCAGGGATGGGGGAGGCCAGAGGAGGGGAGTGGAGAGCAGAGGCTGCCTTGGGGCTCTGGGATCTCAGCGAGGTGGGTCAGCATCAAGTCCTTCCCAGCCATGGGGACTGAGGGACAGTGGGCATTATGGGGTACTGGCCATGTGGGACCTAATCCTGCTCTCAGAAGGAAGGAGCCCACCCAGACTCAGCGAAGAACGAGGAGGACCCGAGAGGTGCCTGCATCCTATACCATGTGACCTAGGCTGGCGGGCAGTGAAGGATGGGGTTTCAGCTTCATCTGCTACCACCCGGCTAACGGGAACTGCCACACCCCCAGGCACTCAGCCTGGTCTGACCTGGGCTTGGCTCTGCCCCCAGCACTGTGACCTTGAGACAGGTTCATGTGTGGGGACAGGCTCACCTTTGGGGACAGGCTGACCTGTGGGGACAGGCTCAGCTGTGGGGACAGGCTGACCTGTGGGGACAGGCTGACCTGTGGGGACAGGCTCAAGTGTGGGGACAGGCTCAGCTATGGGGACAGGCTCAGCTGTAGGACAGGCTCAGCTGTGGGGACAGGCTGACCTGTGGGGACAGGCTGACCTGTGGGGACAGGCTCAGCTGTGGGGACAGGCTCAGCTGTGGGTCAGGCTCAGCTGTGGGGACAGGCTCACCTGTGGCAGAGCTCCCCATAGCCATCAAGGGGCTGCAGCACGCCGCTGGAGGACTCCCCCTGGGTCAGGAACAGCAGCACCGGCTTGTGCTGGGCCAGGCCCTGGGTCGGGGACAGAGGTGACAGCTTTGGGTAGAGCCGGTGCCAGCTAGTGCCCCCAGCAGGACTTCTCCTGGTGAAGGTGGGGCAGGATGGTCCCCAAGCACTCCCTTCCGCCCTGGTTGGCGCACCTTCCTCATCTGCACGTGTGCTGATGTGGGGGCCGGCACCTCAACTCTGGGAGGAGGCTTTTCCAGGAAGAGAGGGACTTTCCTCCCAGAGACCCAGGGAGAGTGGCCTCATGAGGTCAGCTGAGTCCCCAGGTCAGGGCCCGGGCTGTCAGGGCCTGTTCTGCTCCCCAGCTTTTGCCTCCAGCCCCTCTGGTCCTATCCATAGGGCTGGGCTCCTGACTCAGTTTCCCTGCCAGGGAAAACCCTACCTACCTATCAGGCTTCCCACCTGCCCCAGGTATCACCTGAGGGTCACATGGTGCTGGACAGTCATCTGCCCGAGCCTCCCAGCCCCAAGCCCACCCAGCTGACTGGTCCCCTCCCTTCCTCGGGGTCATACCTCCTCCACCTCCTGCTTTGTGTAGTGGCCTCCAGGGTCCTTGATCAGCGGGTGTGTGCGGGCTCCTGGGGGCAGGAGCAGAGTGAGCAGAGAGCCACCCCTGCCCCAGCTCACAGGGCAGGAGCCACTGTTGGGGACAGCATTGTGCTGAGTAGGCCACATGAGGGCAGGGACCTGCCACTCCAGCCCCAGCCACTGCACAGGAGAGGAGAGTGGGGTGTGCTCAGTGAGGCTGCTCTTCGTCAGCTGAGATTTTGGGGTGCGCAGGGCAATAATGCGCCTGGCTCAGCTGTGCCGTCCCTTCTCGGGCGGCCTTCCTCAAGTTCAGCCAGGCTGGGCATCCCAGCATTCCTCACTAAGGAAACAAACAAGCATTTGTGCAAGGCCCAGTGGATGGTGCCTTCACAGCAGAGGAAGGAAGGAAGGAAAGAATGGATGAGGGAGGGAGCTCCAGGAAAACAGGCCCTAGTCCTGCTCCCTCTCTCCCAGCCTTGCATCCCCGCATACAGGAGTCCCAGAGCCACACGTAGCAGATGAGAAGGCCCCAGGACCACGCAAGGCTCCGGGGAGAGCCCAAGGCTTGGGGCGGGCAGTCAGAGCCCTGGATTGTGGGTGCTGAGGTGCTGGCCTCTGCCCAACCAGTGTGTGCACCAAAGGGGACCAGGTGAGGGGCTGGGAACCCTTGAACTGTCTGAAGTTGTCTATTAACTGATGGAGTGAGGCCATGTGTGGAGCTGACCAGACAGGAGGATTTCCAAATGCACCATCAATCATTAAACCCAGGCCTCCCGCCTGCTCTTGATCTTTGTCTCTCAGGAAGATTTTTTCTGGAAGCGAAACGCTGTCCATTCCTCCGTATTTTGTGGCTTCACAGAAAGAGTTTGTTTCTGAGGCTTTTGAGGGGGGACTTCAGCCTCTGAAACCCTGTCCTAAGGCAGAGCAGGGGTGGCCCTGGGGACCCCAGCAAGCTGTGGGCGCTGAGACGGAGGATTCCCTGCAGTGCCACCCATGCGCTCCACAAACAGCTGTCCCCCACTCTGGGAGGCCAGGGAGATGGGACCCTCGAGCATCCTGACACCTAGCCTGGCCAGAAGGTGACCACAGAGGGGGGTAGGCAGGGGCCAAGGTTGGTACCTGGGGTGAGGGGGCTGCCAGGCATCCTGCCAGAGGCAGGAGGATGGGCAAGGGGGAAGGAGGGGCCACACCCCACCCTCTGCCCCATCCCTTACCTATGCGCTCCCCGATCTCGGCTGCCCGCTGTCCCCAAATGCCGTTGACCCCAACCAGGAAGGAGTCCCCAGGCTCCAGGAGGTTGAACAGGGCAGCCTCCATGGCACAGTGCCCCGAGCCGCTGATGGCCAGCGTGAGGCGGTTCCTGGTCTGGAACACGTACTGGATGCCTTGCTTGATCTCATCCATTATCTGGGGGACGGTGGGGGGTGCAGGTCAGAGGCGGCTCCTGGCCCTCCTGCAGTGAGGAGGCGGCTGGGGCCGGACCCGCCCCCACAGCCCACCTGGTACATCTCCTTGTGCATGTGGCCGATCATCTGCAGTCCCCCGGCCGCCAGGACGCGTGGAGCCAGGTTGGAGGGGCCGGGCCCCAGCAGGAGCCGGCTGGGCACCGACAGGGGCTTGAGCAGGGCCTCTGGGGGGGTCACCAGCAGCTGGTGCGAGGCCATGGTGCGCACCCAGCCTGCCACCCGAGGCCCCAGGGCCACTCTGGCGGAGGTCAGAGTGCGGAGCATTTCCCGGCTGGCCCCGTGCTGGACAGCGTGCCCGTCACACACACACAGGCGCACAGGCGGTGTCAGAGGGGAGGCCTGTGGATGGGCTCCCGCTCTAGCTCCGCCCGCTGCCTGCTGCCCGCTTGTGCTGGTTACCTCACCCTTGGTCAGTGCTTAGCCTTCTGCCAGGGCCTGACAGCTGGGGTGTTGAACCCCTGGCAGGGAGGAGGCACCTGCAGAGACCAGTCAATGGAAAACAGAGCCTGGACGTCCTCTGCCCCCGGTACCCTCTCTCCGGCTCCTCCCAGCCAGCTGGGGCGCTCCCCAGCCCAGTGCTTGTGCTGGATTCGTGGGCACCCAAAGTTTTTGTTAAAGGACCGTAGAGCAAATATTTCAGGTCTGGAATATTTAGCGTCTGTGCTGCAAATACTCAACCAGGCTGTTGGAGTGCAGAGGTGTGGCCGTGTTCAAGAAACTTTTATTTACAAAACAAACCATGGGCCAGATTTTGCTCAGACACATGTGTACACACACGTATACACACATACTCATACATGTGCATACTGAGGACCTGGTCATTCCTGATCCTTTTGGAAATAAGTATGTCTTCTGCTTCTCCATGCCCAAGCCCTGAGGTTTGGCATTTACACATGTAGCCAAGGGCACACTCAGGGGTGGGGGTGAGCCTCCTCTCCTTGCTGAGTCGACAGGCAGGTAAAATACATGTAAGTGAGAGGTCCCTGTAGGAGAAGGAGTCAGACCCACCCAGAGGGCACCCAGCAGAGCCGCTGGTGTCCCCAGAAGCCAGGGAGGTCCCGGTGTTGCCTGCGACCTGGTGAAGGAGGTGCTGGGCCTGTGATCTCTGAGCAACTGGCAGGCTTCCTGCAGTTGTGTGCTCAGGGCTCTGAGCCCCTGGGCCACAGTGACCGGGAGACCTCAGGGCTTCTGCAGGTGGCTGAGCAGGCTGCACCACTGCCTGGGGCAGCAGGAGACTTGCTCCTAAGCTCAGCAGAGCCTCTCCATTCAGCACTCATTGCTGGGACTGGGTTTGTGTGACATCCTGGGGGCACAGGGGCCCCACCCGTTTTAGCCTGGCTGGTCAGTTATAGCCTGAGTACCTAGGAACCGTACAGCCCTGCAGATGGGCAGGAGGTGATCTGTCAATAAAAACGTAGAGGAAATAGGCAGACGAACTCCAAGGTGTGGTCTGTGCTGGCCCAGGGCAGGCGTGGGTGATGCTGGCCTTCACTTCCACAGGTGGCCTGGTGTGAGCTCCCCCTCCCTCTCCCCTCCTTCACTCCCCTTCCCTTCCCGACAGAGTTCCTTCTGGGCCAGGGCCAGGTCAGGCTGCTCCAGCTGATGCACTTCCAGCCAGAAGAGAAGCAGACTCTGGGAGAAGGCGCCACCCTCCCAAGGGCCAACCTCCCTCAGCTCACCTCTGGCCTCCTTGTCTTCAGCCCCCAGGACCATGCCCCTTCCCTCTGGTCCCACGCTCCCTCCCACCTGGGTTGCTGTATCACCTCCCCCTGGACCAGCTCATCTCGTCATGACATCTCTGTCACCTGCCCTCCCCCAGGCACATTGCCTCTTCAGTCCAGTCTATCAGAAGCACCTGTGACTTTGCATGTGCTGTTCCCTCAGCCTAGAATGCTTGTCCCTGTCTTTGCTCAACCCCTCTTCTGCTTTGGCCAGCTTCCCATCTGCCCAGAGCTCCTCACCTGCCCCTGAGTGAGAACTAAAATGGAATCACTGTGATCAAGCTGTTAAGTTATTGAAATCGAGTGGGCTGGGCCTGAGGAGTCTTATTCCTGTTCTGACTCTGGGAACCCCCACTTCTGCACTTTCCATCCTGCACCTGTACCTGGGTGGACATCTGCTGGTCCTGGGTCAAGGCCTGGACATACATCACATCTTCTGTTAACCACATGACTTTTGAATGATGATGTTCCAGTGCCCAGTCCCCCAGACATGTGACAATTACCATCGTGGACCAATCGGGGCTAAGAATGCAGGACCCATTCTGCTGGAGTTTGTGCTTTTCAGTGTCAAACTCTCAGACTTCACTCTCTCCTCGAAACATTCTGGATGTTGCCTCCTAGTGTTTCCAGTTTGCAAACCTTAAGACTCCTGACTAGATCCTTATCACTTATTTCTAGCCAAAGCCTCCTGACCTCCTGGAGTAAGTTCAACATCCTTCTGCCACATGCCACACTAGTCGCACTGCCTGTCCCCTTGGGCAGGACTCCATGTGAGAGGCAGGGGAAGCCTGGGCCCTGGGGAAACCAGGGAGGTGTGTATGTTTTGTTCGAAAACAGGTGTCCCTTGCTAATGCAACCTGAGGGGAGCTGTTGCAATCAAGAGAGGTGTTTCCTCAGGCCTGGAGCGGATTGGAAGCTGTGGAGCCACTGAGGACGGTGAACAGCAGGGAAGGTACCAGACCTTTGCCTCCTGAGTCCTGCTAGATAAGGGCCAGGTGACCTGGGTAGTTCCAGCCTCAACACCAAGTCCAGAGGCAGCACCTACCCGGGGAACAGCGACTCTGCTCAGCTCTGTGAGGATCCGCCTGCCCGCCGACCCTGCCTTGCCTGGGCCCTGGGCCAGCAGCCCGGGGAGGCAGGTCTGGGAGGGGCAAAAAGTCTAGACCAGGACGGAGTGCCCACCCTGCCTCGCCTTCCCCACCACAGGCCTCCCAGGCCCTGCTCCTGGAGCACCCAGAGGTGTCTTCACTCTGCAGGCAGTGGCGGAACCCACAGGCTGCTGCCTGCCACACCGCGCTGTGGAGGAGTTTGGTTCTTGTCTTTAATTTAACTTCTGGTTTTCCCTAACTGACGTGAAAAGTGCACGCAGTGCTTTAGCCTGTGGCCGGCCAGCTGCCACACCCGAGTGGTGTTAGGACCGCAGATGTGTGCCACCTGCCCTGGGCGCTCTAGGCGGACTGTGACCTCTGCTGGTGACACTGCTTTCTGGCCCCTCTGCCAGCTGCCCGATGCTGCGGTGTCTCCACGGAGGCTGTGTTTCATATCTTCAGCGAAGACAGCCTGTTGTGACAGCGAGGCTGGAGGAGGCCGTCAGAGGCCCTCACAGGCAGCTCCTGGGTCCCAGATGGGGAGGGATTGGCCTGGGGCCAGCAGCCTCAACCTGAGTCCCAGAAGCCTGGGGGGAGGAGGGGGGAGGCTTGGGGACCCCGACAGTTATGCAAGGTTGACTTCCTGAGCTAAAACTCAGGAAGCCGAGTGTCTCCCGTTGGCACTCACCCCTCCATGATTAGACCACGTTGCTCTACCCGTGTGACCAGCCGCAGCCTTGTTTCTCTCCCATCCCAGCAGAGGCTTTATTCCGGCTTCATTACTTTTCTTAAAAAGTGGGATGTGCAGACAATCCCAGGGCTTTTCTTTACTCACCATCATTTATGGTCAACCTTGTGAGAAGAAATGATTGAGTTAGGTGGTGAGAAGACTCACAGCTCACTGCTCTGCACGCGGCCCAGGAGAGGCAGCTGCCCAAGGTGGACAGGCAACGCCAGAGCACCCGGTTGGGAGCAAGCAGGCGGGAAGGCCTTCTGAGCCAAGACCTGACATGGAGGAAGGGTAACTGGGTGCGGCCGGGGGTGCAGAGTGGGCTTGGCCCTGGGAGCCGGGCATAGCTGGGGGCGTGGAAAGTTGGTTGGAGGCCCCCGGAACCACAGACTTCACCATTGACAGCAGGGAGAGAGCACGGCCAGGAAAGCCGAGAGTCGGCAGGAAAGCTGCCTCCTCCTGGGTGGCCTCCAGTGCCTGCAGTGCATCAGAATCCCCAGATTCTGACTCATGGGACGGAGCTGGGCCCGAAAACTTGCATTTCTCACAGACAGGGCAGGAGGGCAGGTTCCCAAGTATGGGGAGGCTCTCAGGGAGTGGGCCTGGGGCCATAGGTCACCGGTCTCCAACAGCCTGTGCTTGGACCCCACCCTTGACAGAGAAGGTGAGGGGACTAGGTGCTGGCGCCTTGGGGCCCAGCAACAGTGAGCTTCCCCTCTTCCCTTAAATGCAGCTTTCTGTTACTTCTGGAAGGCAAAGGTGACAGGCTGGTTGTCCCCATGTGGCGGGGTGTCAAGCTGCACGATCCCACCCAGATTCAGGGTTGGAGATGGTCTATGTGGCTGGGTACCCACAGACCAGCACCATAAACTTGGAGCTGGCTGGGCTCTGGTGTGAACAACACGACAGTGCCCTCTTGTGGCTCAGTCTGAGACATGCAGAGGCAGTGGCAGGTGACTCCAGTAGGGATAATCACAATTTTAAAATGTCTGCAGTGTGAGTAAGGGTGCAAGCACGAGGAGCCTTCAGCGCCCTCTCTGCCAGCCTTCCTGCACTGACATCTGTCACCCTTGTTTCTTTAATCAGCTGCCCGGCCTCACTTTCACTTGTCTAATTTTGCCAGAATTTTTTGTGTGTGTTTTTTTTAATTCTCACTGAGGATATTTTTTCCCATTGATTTCTAGAGAGAGAGTGGACGGAAGGGAGGAGGAGAGAGAGGGAGGGAGGGAGAGGAACTTAGGTTTGTGCTTTGACCAAGAATCAATGTGCTCCAAACAACTAAGCCACCCAGCCAGGGCGGAGGTCTCTTTTCGTGGGCGATCGTGCTTGGGTGGACACACTCCCCAGGAAGCGTGTTGAAAACACCTCTGGCTCAGGCAGCTGGGTTGGGCCCAAGACACTGCATTTATACAAACCCCCACAGCACGGAGGGCCCTGAGTCTGCAGGCCTTTTCGCTGTCCAAGCCCCCTGCTGCCTGGCCAACCCCTCCCCCCGAATCTCTCTCACTCTCCCCCCACCCTAGGAGCCTCTGGCAGAGGGGACAAGGACGAAGGGAGCAGGCAGGAGGGTGACCTTCCCCAGGGTGGGAAAGGTGAAGGTGCTCCAAGAAGGGTCATCCTAGGTCAGGAGACTCCCCTCCCAGGGCAGACCTCCCCCGAGTTTCCCTGCCAAGTTGGAAGCTCAGACCTTCACCCAGTTGGCTGGAAGCCTGGGGGGCCTCTCCCAGCCCTCCTTGCCCCCTTGTCTATGCCCTGCCCTGGTGGGGGCCCTGGGAGTGTCTGCCCTCTGTGCTGCCCCTGCCCCCCCCCCCCCACAACCGACCTGGTGTGGCTGGAGGGGTGTCTGAATCTAGGGTCTCCTGTGGAGACCATATGCGGTGGGGGCCAGGTATGGCGGG